GTGTTCATCCAGCTTTACACCTTGTTATCTCTGCTGGGAAGGATGTTTGGTTGAGAATATTTGAGTACAGGAGGACAAATTTCTTCATGCAGAGGATCGTGATTCTTTGGAATTCTCCAATCCGGAGGCCTGTGGAAGCACAGTCAGTGGGCACATTGGAGAGGTCAATAGATGTTTGTGCACAGAGGGAATTAGAAGGTATGGGGATAGTGTGAATGGCTGCAATTGAGGTGCAAGGTTAGCCACAATCCTGTTGTGTGACAGAGCAGGTCTAAGAGGCCACTTAGTCTATTCTGGCTCCTGTTTCCTAACTTCAGGCTGTTAGTGTTGGCAGCATGTGACCCTCTGACTGAAAAGGGATGGGGACTGAGTCTGCACCAGGCCTCAGTGCACACACACACACAAATACAAACAAACGCGCACATACAAACACATATAAACAAACAGATGCATGTAAGGCCTAGCCTCTGGTCACTAGTCCCAAACAGCTTTCAGACAGAGGCTTAAATGTAAGGGAAATACTGTGAAAGTATTTCATAGCGACCATTCAGATGTCAGCAAGAGTGAATGGAAAGATAAGCATTTGGGTTTTACCTCATGCTGTGTATCATGCCTGTGCAGGAAATCAGACAGCATATTTGCACCAAGAGATACAGAATTGGGAACCCTCCTCCCACCACATCATCTTCACCATACCTGCTCAGCAGATTTCTACACACAAACCCCTCCCTCCCATCTACCCACCCTGTGGTTACCAGGCAACACACTAGACAGTCTAAGAAACTCCCTTCATTCCTTGCTCTTGACATTACTGACTCTGTGCTCTGGGAAGCATGGACCCCCCGCCTCCATCTTGGCCTCTGGGCCTTCACCTAAAGGGTTGTAAGTCCTGCCTCAGCTGTGACAGGCTGTTTCTAGGGCCTACCTACATTGGAGTTTAAAAGGAGGCGAGGCAATGTTACTGAAACGTAAATGATTCCAAATGGACTTGGCTGTGTGGTTGCTGACAGAACTTTCCTTTTGTAGGGGAATCTGAAACTTGGGCGTCACAGTTTCAGAATTTTGGTGGTGGTGGAGGGGGGGGGGGGGGGGGGGGG